AAATGGGAATGCTTTTGAGGCTAAAATTGGGTATATGTGTAGATAAAATGTGTTATACAAGCAGAGGAGGGAAAAGAAATAACGTCCTGCCTGGCACAAAAATTGAGAATTTTCTAGATGTCTGAGACTCTAGGGATGTGACATGGTTTCATCAAAGATGTACAATGGACAGTACTCAAAGAAACAACCACCCTAGCTCCTTTAGATTATTCCATAAATATCTAGGCACTGGGGAGGCACAAATGAAAATATCTCTGGCTGAAGAACTCACAATCTACTGGACGCTGTTGGTTGGCTCCTCAGCTGCTGGACTCCCGACCTTCATCTCTCCCTTCAAGCGCGCCATCTTGCCTACTGTGTCAGAGCCCTTGCTCTCTTTGCTCTGCCTGGTACGCTCTCTCTCCCCTTCACCTAGACAAGTCTCGGCTCGGTTCTCTAGAGCAAACACTACTGGTTACCTGCACGTCATCTGACATTATCCTAATTTGTAGTTATCCACTCCTTTTCAACCCTGTGTACCAAGGGTAAAGAACATTTCCCCAGCCTGAGGGCAGATCGGGACTCATTTAATTTAATCATGGAAATCCCGGTTCCTTTTGCCAGTGATTAGTTTAGGAGAGTGTATTTGACACAATTCTGATTGAGGAGGCAGTAGACAGAGGAGGCCTGTAGGAGGGGTTTTAGGGAAGGTTTCTCTGCTTCCAAGAAAGAAACACAGGAAAAATTGGTCTCTCTACTCCTCCCCATGTAACCATGTCTGGATGTGACACCTGGAGCTTTTACAGCCATTTCACCAGCTTGAGGATAAAGCACACACGGAAGAAGACAGAGCCAAGAGAACTACAGAGATACGAAACTGGGGAAATACAATGTGGGGAGCCTGCCTTATATCCCGGACTTTACGTTTTGTGAGATAATAAAATCTCCTCACTGTTAGATTCAGAGTTTCTATTAATTGAGGCCAAAAGTATCATTATTGAACATCATTTTTCATTAAATACCTCAAAAGTCACTTCTTCAGGGAAGCCTTCCCTGAGCCCTGCTTTCCTCAGATCAGTCCTGTCCTCTTCTTTTATGCTCCTGTAGCTTCTTGGACTTTTCATCTATAACATTTACCACAATGAGTAATTATTTATTTCTGTGATTATCTGATCACTGCCTGATATTCTCATTAGACCTTCAGCCTGTGAAGGCCCTTATGTCTGTCTTGAGCACCACAGTATTACCAGTGCCCTGAATAGTGTCGGGGCACATAGTAGGTATATATGAACATTGCTAGAATGAATGGGTAAATATACAAATGTGTATGTAAGGCTCAGTGGGAGTCAGAGCAAAGAGGACATAAGCCTGACTGGGAGAATCAGGGAAGGATTCACAGGGGAGGTGAAACTTAAGCTGAATTTTGGAGGGAGAGGAGTTTTCCAGGCATAAAAAGTAGTAGGGAAGAGTATTCCAGACAGCTGGAAATATATGTGCCAGAGACCCAGGGGTATCCTCTAAGCCATTAAGTCTAACCAAATCAAATTTTCATTGCAAGAACGTTCAGTCCAAATGTATCCTCAAAATGATATATTTTTTGAGGATGACGTAAAGGGGTATTTTTGTTTATAAAATGTCTCCTATTTCTTAGTTTAAGTTTCTGAAAAGAGAAATTACCCTCAGTGCCACTCAGTTTTTCCATAGAATTCCTTCTTTTGCCTAAGTTCTCTCTATTTGGTAGATATTTATTTACTCACTGTTTAGTGGTCAGCTAGGGAAAGAAATAGAAACCAATGAAGAAACCCTGTGACATGTCAATCCAGTGACCTTGGAGCTATTTCAATAAACCAGCCAAAAAGTTAATATTCTCCAAGTCAAATCAGAGAAATGGAACAGACAGTAAGAGTCCACACTGCCAAATAGGGGTAAATTCTAATCCAAGTTACATCAGATCTATTATGAGTTTGGGGGAAAGTCAAATCTTTAGGCTATTATGTTCAGGAAACCTAATCATCTTCAGTCGGCACCATCTGCTGTAGCCCATAATATGTCATGTTCTATATAACACTTCAAAAATTGTTGAAACTGTATCCAATCCTTCTGTCCCTCCTTTCCAGGGCAGAAATAATTTTCAGCAAAGAAGGAACCAGCCAGGCCATGGGGTCCTGGCTTGGGATGCTGTCCTCTAGTAACCAGACACAATATGTAAGAGGCCTAGCTAATTTTGAATACAAGCCACTACTGATTCTTGATGTATAGAGTGTAACTAATTCCACAAAGTCGGCCAATATCATTAGCTTATCATCATACCATGAGGCTTGTAACCTTGATCACAATCACGAAATGTCTCTGGGAAAACAAGTGATGATTTCATCCACCATCTATATACATTCCAAATGGAGATCACCAATCCAGGTCTCTGTCCTGAGCTGTATGTGTGTATATATGTGTATATATATGTGTGTGTGTGTGTGTGTGTGTGTGTGTGTGTGTGTGTGTGTGTGTGTATCCAACTGCCAAAAGAAATAGCCCAGGGGCAATGCAACTTCAGTCTGTTCAAAACTGGATTCATTTTCTTGCCCACAACTTTGCTTTCTGCTATTGTGGCTTCTCTCCTTGAGCATGGAATCATCAGCAATTTCGCCAAACGAGAAACCTGAGAGACACCGTAGACATCTCCCTCATTCTTCACATGCAGTGGGTCATCAAGTCCTATAGATTTAGCCGTCTAAGTGTATCTCCATTCCCTTTCCCAGCATTCTAATTCAATCTTCTTAATTTCTCCTCTGGCTTCCTGCAGTAAGTAGATTTATAACCTCATAAGTGGATTTATGGCCTCTAGTTTTTCTCATTTACAATTCCCTCCACAATGTAGCCAGATGGAACTTTAAATAATGAATATCTGATCAAGGCACTTTATTGCTTAAAAATCTTTAAATGGCTCCTCGTTACTTTCAAGATTAAATATCAGCTCTTCCGTGTACCATACATTTTGACATTTCATGACTTGGCCCCCATCTCTGTCTCCAGTCTCATATATCTCTTATATAGAGTGAGAAGAGTCTCGCCCTAATCTACCCTCTCCCCTTACAACCTCTGTTATTATACCTAATAATAGTTAACATCTATGGAGCACTTACCCTAGGCTGGAAACTCTGTTAAAGTCTTTACATCGATATTTTCCAAACTTCTCTGATGAGACACATCAACTGGGATGCTTGTTAAAAACACAATTCCTGACCCTTATTCCAGACCCATTGAATCATAATCTTCAAGAAATGAGCCTGGGAAGTTGTATTAAAAACACACACATGTGCACAAAATACCATGGTGACTCTTATCATCTGAGAAGCTTGGGGAAATGCTGCTTTATGTGAATTTTCATTTAATACTCATGAAGTTTAATGAGGTAAGAGCTGTTATTAGTCTCATTTATAGATGGAAAAACTGAAGCTTCAGGGAAGAGTTGATTTGTCCGAAGTCATAGTTAACTGATGTCATTATTACAGTTTGAACTCAGGCATCCAATCCCAGAATTTACACCACGGTCCTGCTCTACCCTCTCACTTGTGTGTCAACACATGTGCTGTGTTCACTCTCAATTCTCTTCTGCTCTTTGACTTGGAAAGTCATTTTCCCATCTCTGCCTGGAATACCACTATTAACCTCATTCTACTTAGACTGAAGCTTTCATTAACTTCCTCAGTCTGGCATGTTTGCCGTCCTATGCACCATTTTGTTAACATAACACATCATCCTCGATATCCTCATCTGTTTCTCAACCAAACTATAGGCAGGCATATCTCAAGTCCTCCTGTGTGCTCAGTCTAGCAAAGTGCCTGACATATACCAAGTAGGTGACGAATATCTGCTGAATGAATCAAAGTATAATAAGTTATTTTAGCTGGGAGAGTTCCTGGGCTTTAGCTGTTATGAATGAATGGAGCTAGGGTCACTCCAGAAAGTTATTTGTTTTCAGGTATTGAATACTGTCTCTGAGACCCAGGCCATGTCCTTGTTGACTTCACCTGTTTTCATTCTAGGACTGTCTTAGGGGAGATGGGATTGAGAACCCAACCCCTTCCTTTTGAAGCTCAAAGAAATCAAACCTATGTTATATCATACAGTAGCCCCAATCAAGGCCAGACGGTAGGACAGGACAATGAAGGCACGAGAAAGGAGCAGTGTTATAAGAGAAACGGGTGTCTGAGCTGGCGATGTGGACTCAATGCAAGAGTTCAGAGAATCAGAGGGGTGTGGCGACATGACCTTAAGTATGGCTCTATCCAGACTCCCAGTCCCATGGGTGCACTGTGAGTGTGAAGCAAAAGTTAGAACATGGATGGCAGTCGTGTTTTCATTTGGTCTTAAGGCAACAGGTAGAGCTCTGCAGTGGTGGCAGTGATTAAGACTTTCAAAGTAGGGGGTTTGGTTAGGGTCCAAAATGTATGGACTAAAAATCTACATTCTACCAGGATTTCAGCAAATGGTAGTGCTGAGGATTCCTTTTTTGGCAAGAGTAGGGAAGGACTGTAGGGCTTCCATGGCTGGCAGTGGCACCTGTGTTCCACTTCTGGGGACAAGGCAGTAGCCATAGAGGAAGCCAAGACCAGCAGGTAAATCTGTCCACAGGTTAACAGACATTGTGCCCATTTATGAGGGTTCCATGCATCTTGATTCTACCTTTATTACTATTAGTTGAAGGCAAGGAATGAGTAGAACTGAATTATGGACAGGTATAAGCTATCTGGCTCTTAGGAGTATTTATTTGGAGCAAAAGAAATTGAGGGGTACTAGATTTTCTCTTAATTTGGCATGTGTGGGTTTGGTGTCATAATTTAAGTATTAAAGGCAATGTTGACCTCACCAGGTTGGTGAGGTCTAGACATTTGGGTAATAGAATTCTTTAATAAAAGTGAATAAAACAGATCTTTGAAAATATGAAGACGTTTCCCAAGATGCTAAAGACAGTCATATGCAGTCGTGAAAAATGAGACCTTATAGGAAACAGAGCAGAAACCTGTTTTCCATGAGACAAGTTTTATTTGAAACAAAGGCTTTATTTGAAACAAAAGCTTTCTTTAAAAAGCGCTATTTGAAGAAAGGTTTTATTTGATGCAAAACTATTTGTGGGCATTCTGGAGATTCTCACATACAGGCAAAGGAAATTAGATCCTACATGCAATAGAACAGAAGGGATGCTTTGTTTGGAAAAAACAGAGAACACTGATACAACATTCAAAGAGCTGGCACTGCAAGTGATTACAAAGAAAAGAAAACTCTGGTGAGAAAGGTGACGTCTTCAACGTTAAAGAAATTAATACATACATGACACGGATCACAGTCTGTGAAGACAAATAACCTTGCCATATCTTATGAAACACCCTCCCCGGAATCGTGTTGAAATTATAGATGGGAGATTCAGGCGCTATTCTGAACACTCTGCCTCAGGATGCGAAGCCTGGACATCACCACATCCCAGTCAGCGTAAGCTCCTTCTAGATGGCGGGAGATCTCAGTTCCCGCTTCATAGCTTCGTCGGCCGTGAAGTAAACGCCAGTTATCAAAAGTAATCACATCACCTAGACAAAGGATATTTTTCAATATGAATAATCATGAGTTTAATATTTGCAGAGCTAGAGAATAGCTCTATTTTCTAGCTCTGCAAATATCATTGCCACTTAGTTCACATCAAAAAAGCTGTATGTTTATTTCTTTATGTAAAGCTGTACATTTACTTTTCACACAAATCAGGTAACTGGACGCAAACAGCTTTAGACCTTTTGACATTTAAACTCCATAGCCTGGTAGGAGCCTGCAGATACTTTTATAATTCTTACTTAAAATATTATCTCTATGTAAAACTTTTGAATTTTTCTTCCTCACTGTTATAATACTTATCTCCTACTTAAAAATGTTTATTTCCAGTTTAACAGCTTCGAAGAATTATAAGGGTAGTGACTGACAGTCCTGGTTTGTCTTTTATGTTTTCTAGTACTTTTGTGTACATTATTTCTAAGCCTCATAAAAATCCTAAAAAGAGAGTATTAGCTCACTTTTCATACATAAGGAAACTGAGGCTCTGAGAAATTGGAGGCTTTGCCTGAAGCTATGCTACCATTAAATGGTGAAGCTTAGATTGCAATTCCTATTCTATTTTTTGGGTATTTTTCTCCCAGGGTATTCCATTCTTACATGTTACTGCTCTTAAAATCAAGCTGGTATGACTGCCTAGCAGCAGATTTATGGAGGTTTCTAGTATTACTTTCTCAGGCCAAAGATCAATTAAAAAAATAATCACCATTGAAAAGAATCTTCCACTTCCCGGCCAAATCAGCATCAGAGGGAAATTATGCTTTTTATTTTAAATAACAGAAGCCTCAAGTTTGACGTCACTTGATTGAGATGGTCCAGGAAAAACACGGGGCTTTCTGCTTTTTTTATTTCAGGTAGCTGGGGTATTTTAAGTACTATTTTATTTCAGGTCGCACTTTGTCTGCCAGATCAGATAAGCTTAATGAGTAAACATTACTCATGTAGTTTAGAGTGAGAATCATGAGGGTAATTTTATTTGTTTAGCAACATAGAAGAATTAGATACAAGTTTCAGTTTGTATTGATTGGCTATCAGGGTAGAAAACATAAGTCATCAGCCTTGAGATCAGGCATGAGATTTCATTTGGCCTATAGCTTGTCTTTCAAATGTTTATTCTTCAAGTTGGAGGTTGTTAAATTTTGGTGTGCTTAAGGAGCTTGTTAAAAATGAGTATTTTAAAGTCTGGAGAGTCGGTAGAGCAGGGGTAGGGGCCCGGAGTCTGCTCTTTAAGCAAGTTGGCTGCTCACCAGCATTCTACTGTTAAGTGTTCCACTTGACATACTCGAGAAAAACTGCTCTAGAGATTGCTCTGGACAGTTAGGGTTGAAGAAAATACATCTGTGCAGTTGTTTGAGAAAACATGCTCACTGACCTGGATTCATCTTGAAAGTAAACTTGGATTCTTTACAGTTCATGAGGTCAACAAACTCCTTCAGAGCAGCATAAAACGGCTGAACTTTTTCAACAGGTACATCAAATATTGTGTCTCTAGTTGCATTATTGAAGTTGATGCGAACCACTTGGCCTTTATCATCTAATCTATTTTTTTAAAAGAGAAAAAGTTAAAATAGATAAGTCACAAAGTATCTATTGACATTTCTAAGGGTCAGTTTGTCTTGGAAGGTGATTCTGAAATATAGTATTAAAGAACCCAAACTCATGAAGGTGTTCAGGGTATGTGTGGTACAATGTATTCATTTGTTTTTAATTTATTCACTTAGCAAGTTACTTTCTGATATCTTACTACCTAAGTGCCAGAGTGATTCAAATTAATTTGAAACAAATGTTCCTGAGAGATGCCAGTTAAAACTTTTTTCTATATTTAGGGAAATGAATTCATTCTTCATTCTTTGAAATAATAGCTTTTACATAGTCACATATTTTTATAAGTCCATAGGCCCATCACTTTATGTTTCCCCTATTGGGGTTTTAAGTCTTATTTTATTGGAGCAGTATTGGAAAGAAAAATCTGTTGTTGTTTTTTAAATGTTTGAAATACACTTTTCTAATTCAATTCCTAGTTTACAGATGGGGAAGCTGAGGCACAGAGAAGCGCCTAGTCTGAGGTACATGCTTTGGCTCTTTACATCTATGGCATCCTTTGTGCCATCCTCGATGTTACTGACACGAGTGTCATGACATTGAAACTTTTTGGGAGCCTTCCATTCTAATCACTCTGGCGATCAGTTCTTTTTTCACTAACACCATAATTCCTTGATGGGAATGGTGATGCTAGTTATGAACTCTCTCTTTTAGAGTTCATGTATGTATCCTCACATACCAGTGAAGGGAACTTTGTGATCCATTAATCTAATTAAATCAGAATAGTGTGTCTCATGGTACATTGTATTAAGCTTTCATTTCTAATAATTCATATGTATAGGTAATCTAATCAATTCTCTCTCTCCTCTCTCTCTCTCTCTCTCTCTCTCTCTCTCTCTCTCTCCACAGTCTTTGTCTCCTTTCATTCAATATTTACTTTCTATCTGAGAAAAGAAGACACAAATTCATTATTTAGCATTCTCAGCAATGACATGAAGGGAAATAGAAAGCAAATTAATCATAAGGTCTAGAGAAGACATTATTTTGAAGATGGAAAAATGTTAGAGGAGATGAATAGCTGACATCTCAAAGAGCAACCTAAAATGCAAAATTGAATCTTAGCAAGAAGGAATATGTAACAACAGAATGAAAGGAAGGTCCCAATGCAGGGATATGTGATGAGGAAGGGTAAAATGCCCCCAAAGAAGGGGAATAACTGGCTATGTATTAGCTCTATATAAGATGACTGACCTCTCAGAGAACGCTACTCTGAACTAGAACTTATTTATTTATTTATTTATTTATTTATTTATTTATTTATTTATTTATTCATTTATTTATTTATTTATTTATTGGGGAATTGGGGAAGGGGAACAGCCAAATTGTTGACCTTCAGTCTTAGTTGTGGAAGGCACAGCTAGCTCAGCTCCAAGTCTAGTCTCCATCAGGCCCCTCATTGGCAGCTCGCAGCCATTCAGCTAAAGGTGCCAAGTTCAATCTTAGTTGTGGGGGGCGTAGCCCACCATCCTATGTGGAAGTCGAAGTGGAAACCTTGTTGCTAAGAGTGCACACTCTAACCACTGAGCCATCCGGCTGTCCATAGGCAGCTCAGGGCAGCTCAGCTCAAGGTGCCATGTTCAATCTTAGTTGCAGATAGGCGTAGCCCACCATCCCATGTTTGAGTTGAACTGGCAACCTTGTTGTTAGGAGCACGTGTTATCACTAGCTGAGGCATCCTGCCATCTGTTGGCAGCTCAGTGAGTTCAGCTTGGGCGCAGCTCACTGGCCCATGTGGGAATTGAACGGGCGACGCTGTTGCTCAGAGCTTGCATTCTCAACCTACTGAGCCACTGGGCCGGCCCCCTAGAATTTATTTTTGATGTCTGTCTTTCTCTCACACCCTTCATCCAATCTGTCAGGAAAATATGCTGTTTTGACTGACAATTATATTCCGAAATGAACTCTTCCGTGCACTGCCACTGTCACCACTTGGACCACTCGCATTTACTGGCACCCTCTCCTCTGACCCAAAGTCCTGCAGTGGCTCCCTCACTGGTCTTCCTGCTCCTGTCCTTGCACTTCCACCCTCCATTCAGCACAGCAGCCAGGATGCTCCATTTAAAATGTAAATACATTTATGTAAACATAAGTGTTTCTCTTTTAATCCAACCTTGCAGCAGCTACCTATTTCACTAAGAGTGAAAGCCAATGCTCTTACAATGACTAATCAGGCTGGACATAAACTTAGCCCCCTTTGACCTCCCCTCTTCACACTGCTCCACACTAGCCTCTTCACTTTCTTTAAACACACCAGACTTGCACTTGGGGCCTTGTTCTCGCTGTTTCTGGAAACTGCTTATCTTGGCAATCTCCTTCACTCCTTTAAGTTTTTGCTCAAATACTGCCTGCTCAGTAAATATTTTCCTCATCACACTATTCAGAGATGCAAGTTCTATCCTCCCCTAAGTCTTTGGTTCTGCAGACTCCTCTTATCCTGCTCTACTTTTCCTTCTTTCTTACATATTTAAAATGTTTTAATATTCATCGTAATTTTCTCATTTGTTTTAAAATTTCTAATTCTCCCCTCCACTGTGAGACTGCAAACTATATGAGGGCAGGGACCTTTGTTTTGTTCATGATGTAGCCCAAACACCATGAAGAGTGGCTGGCCTCTATATAGATTTGTTGAATGAATAAATGAAGTGTCTAGGTGTATATCAGGAAGCTGAGTACACTGGGAATTTTATGACTTATTAAATGAGTTTCTTTTTATATCATTTGGCTATTTCTCCTTAAAGAAGAATACAAACTCAATTCTAAAATTGGGAACACCCCAAAATTTATCAACTGAAGTCTGATCAAGTAAACCACGTCTTAGAAACACAATGTAAGATAATTCTCAAATAAAAGGATAAATGTGTGTCCTTTGTAGATACTTGAAAAATTGTGATCAAATAATGTCAAATGAAAAGAGAGCATAAAATGTGCTATTATATAGGGAACATATGATTTTTGTTGGCATGAATTTGGGGAGACATCCCTGTTTCATTCTCAGCCCATGTGGTTCAGACAAAGCTGACCTTGTTCCAGAGATGAACATGTGACCCAGGAATGGCCAATGGCCAGTCAGGATTGTCTGACTTTCTGTCTGTGGTGATTGTTTCAAGGATTCACTTGGACACAAATAATGAGTCATTTAGTTTCAGTGTAGCTATTGGGAAATGAGTGCTTTCTATGTACTGTGATTACCAGCTCTAAGGATAATGAAAACTTGGAGCTTCCACTGATTATCTTTGAAAATGAAGCCAACACAAAGGATGGCAAAGCTGAAGGGTGAAGAAAAAAGAGATCAATTTCAGATAACATTGTTTTAACTCCTGGATCTTCCTAATTTGTATTAGATTCTTTCACTTCTGGCTAAAAGGGTTCTGACTAGTACAGTCACACTGACTAGAACTATGGCTTAAAAATTAAGTGGACATGAAGTCTTGTTATTTCTCTTATGTTGATTACAACAGAGACTTTTATGAAATTTGATAAAGCATTTTTTATGATGAAATATTTTTTTTCTCTTCTCTAAAATTGGATTAAAGAGTTAATAAAACATAAAGCTCTGGAGTTAATGGAAGCTTTCTAGGTTTAAGCTTTAGGTTAATGAAGGCTCTTGCTCTCAATTGTTTTATTGAGGAATTTGTAAGTAGCACTTACTCTATGATTTTGTGTTTGGATTGCACAGAGAAATCACAGTAATCCACTCCAATGTCTGTGAAGTCCACAAAGGTGGAGGACAACATCTGGAATGCCCGAGGATTGTTTTCCTCAAGCTTTCGGCATACATTAAACCCATCCACAACTTCTGAATCACCCCCAGTGACTGTTTGTTTTATGCAGTGCAGAAGCTGAACCTGTAAAGAGAAATAGGGTTTAAAATGATACGCACTTACATTTTTTGGCACTGTGTTAAAGAAAGATACAGAACGATATGCATGCACTAAAATCAACAGAATTTTTTAATGTGTCTTTGTGTCAGCAGAGAAAGGGACTAGGGAGAAAAAGTTGCTTGTAATCAATATCTTATCATTCAAACATTGTTACGATTGAAGGCACAGGCATAGGCATGATGATGTTCACTAGTACATGAAAGACACGGATTATAATAGCTGCAGGGAATGAGCCTTTCATGTTGGAGTATTTGTTTACTTCCTGTTGGCTTTACAAAGGAAGTGGGATTTAATCTGGGTAAAGGAGGACCAATAAGATTTTTGGATATGTAGAATAGAATGGAGAAAGTGAATATTGGGGCAGTGATGATGAGTAGGCAAAAATGCACACTTCACTGGGTATCAAAAGGTTTGGCTGCAGTAAAAGGTCACACCTGGGAACATATCCAGGTGGAAAGGTAATTTGGAACCATCATGGAGTGTTGACTGTCAGATGAAGGATGATTTTGGACTTTCTCTTATTTACAGACGAGAATTGTGAACAGCTTTTGAATATGGAAGTCAAAACTAAGTTGAAGAATATTTGTCTAGTGGTATTACATGGGATACATTTTTTTTAAAGGGGGGAACTAGTGAGAGAGTAACTACTTGTGAGTCTAATGCAATAATTCACGGGCATGGATAAGAAGGGAATGAGATAGGATGAGGCGATGAGGCTGCATAAACCCAAGGACCACTGGGGATGAGAAACCAAAAGGAGGATAGTAAGTATTAGTTATTTTTACCAAGATTTAGGGGAAAATGTTTAACAGTATTTCATTTTGAACAGCAAACAGTAAAGGTTTAGAAAATTCCTTGGGGCCGGCCGAGTGGCATATGAGGGCCAGTGACACTGCCCTCTACAGCTAAGATGCTGAACAACAGCTCAACATGGAGCTGGGCTGCTGTGAGTCTCCAGCAACCGCAGATGGGTTGCCATGGGCTCCCGTGTGCCGCCAGCAGCCAGTGTGAGCGGCCAGCA